CTCATTTCTGAAGCTATGATTACGATTTAAAGACAATAATATTTAATAGTGTTCATACTTTATGTAATGATAATATTATTATTGGATTATTTTTTTTTCCCAACCCAACTGATTAAATTATTGCGAATTGCGATAACATATGTCCAACAAGAGAAACTTAAAATAAATGTTAACTTCTCTGAAATAATTTGAGGAAATAATATTTTTATCTTATATGTTACATAATATATTAAATTCTTTCTTAACTTATGATGATTCAAATATTAGTATTATTGGATTATCCGGGGAGGGGGGCAAAATTATACCTTTGTCCCTCACAAAATTGTCAAGAGGTACAAGTGCCCCCCTTTTCCCCGCAACAATTATTCTACTGAACTAAATAATGGCAGTTCGGCTAAAGCAGTGATATTTTCTATAGTCTCATGTGGAAGAGAAGATTGTTGTAACTCAGTTAATCACGGCGAGATATTGGGCACTGTCAATATTAATTAAAAAAATAATATAATCGGATGATTTATAATATTGTATTTTTAATTATGCTGTGTTTTTCTACATATTGGCTGACAATGTAATCATCTGATAAGCAGCAGTATAGAAGATAATAAAGATACATTAATGAGAAAATATTCAAACATGTCCATGCGATAATATATCAAAACAAATACAGAAATTATACTAATGATTATAGTTTATTTGGCGGCTTCTTTGAAAAACGTCTAATTCATATTATATTTCTATACATTAGATTTTTATAAAGACAAAAAATAGGAAGAAAATTTATATTTTAACATTATCTTATTTACATACTTACATTTACATGACATACTTTGTTAAAAATTTAATAAAAATATAAACTATAGTTTTTATTTTTAAGTTAATTTTTATGATATCACTGTTATAGTAGAAATGTGCAATTTTTGACATACCTTCTACTTCATACCTTTGATTAATGTAATAATAGTGTTAAAAAATAATACTGCAATAGCTGCAATAATGAAAAAGTGACTTTTTGACCGCTACAAAAAGTTTTAATGCTCTATATGTAAACACACATTTACACAGTATCCCGACAATAGAGCGAAAAAAAAAAGAGCAAACGTAAATGCGCGAATGAAATAGAGCAAAAACAAAATGAGCGAATAAAAATATAAGCGAAAATCCATTCTTTACGTTTTTGGCTTAAAATATTTTGTACTGGTTGTGTAGTGTGTACTATAACTATGTGAAACTACAGTGAAATATTTTTGGATTCGATGTCTACGATAATGGTTAGGTTATTAGGTTATCTACGATAAGATTACGTTTTTGATCATTAGTCTAACAATCTTCGTACCCAGTTGAATTTGTCATTCAAGTCGTCCGACAGTATTTTTATGCTATATGCCTAACATATACTGACTTATTGTTTAACAATTTGACGCATAGAAATTAAAACGCCTTATACTCAACTACAGCATGGAAAATTATTGCTTTAGTCAAATAATTTCTTATATCGTAAGGAAAAAATACATAAAGACAATGAATATTGGGCAAACTATTTAAAGGGCGTTTGATTATTAAATATGAAGACATTATTTAAGGCCTTTCAGATCGTAATTATGTTGCCGATATAATTCAAAATGAAACAAAATTAGTAGTCAAAAATACTAAAAAGCGTGCCGTCGAAACACTCGAAACTCAAGATTATCCAGAAGTTATAAAACATGAGTCGTCTTCTGTAACTTCGGTTGTTTTTTGTGCATTTTAACAAATCACACATTTTAAACGCACCTACAATTCAAAAAAAAGAATCAAAGAAATTACTTAGCTCCACCTAATCTTCAAATATTCGATTATGCTAATTGCCAAATGATTCTGTGAATAAATTAAAAGATATTGCATGTATTGACGACTATTATAAAATCCTAATGTTTCAATATTTTAAAAGGTATTGCGCATAATTTGTCATTACAATTAATATGATAAATTAGTATTCGTTTTATTTTAACTATATTTTATACACATATAAATATATTAAATCGATTTTAATTCCATTAAAATATATTTTTTTCGTTGATATTTTTATTCACTTATTTTGTTTTCTTTCTTTTTTATTTGCGCATTTGTATTCGCTCTTTTGTCGTAGACCCCATCTACGCGTACGACGTACACACGGCCAGATGGAGATTTTACTGTCAAACCCTTATAATAAATAATGTAATGTGCAATCGTCTTCGTGTGTCGTGATCAGTATAAACCTCTGTAATATCTATTTATAGTTCAGAGACTGCGTAAAAAGAATCGTTAAAATAATTATCACTCCGGATCCAAAATTACGGTGGAGCGAGAGTTGGGTGGTAGCAGGTCGTTTACCGAGGTACACCTATTATAATATATTATGATCATGTCTCAAACAACACCCACAAATATAATAACACGATACAACAATAATATTACTGGTCTTATTTCGTATTTTATTATAATATATATATTATTATATATATATGTTTATATGTATATAAAAATTTCGAGCATTTTTCCTAACAGTAAACATTTATCATACACATGTATAATAATAATATATTAAAGATTTATTGTTATTTTTTTTGTATAAATATTAAACTAACGTTATACACTCACATATAAATAAATAAGTATATGTATGTATGTATGTATGTATGTATCGTGTATATAAATTAAAAGTATGCTAAACTATGTGACGAATGTATCATTTTTCTCAAACGTCACTTTGCAGGCGCCGTTAAGTAAAAAAACCAAAGAAATGAAAAAAAAAACATATTTTGTGTATTTTACAACAGGTAATATAATATTTAAATAATCAATTCTTCCCTATAGGTACACAGTATATATATTATAACAATTTCATAGAAAATTTGTTTTAAAAAAAAAAACATTTATTCGATTAGTTTTTTATAATAAATCACATCTTATCTATCTATATATATATATATATATATATACCTATGTATATATAATAAATTCCTTTCGATTTCTCGTTAATTCAATCACATGCCGGTTCACAGTCTCTAACGGAACGTAAAATTTAAAGACAAATAAAAGGAGAAAACAAAAAAAAAAAAAAACATAAAAAAACCTTCCTACGAATTCGTCACCAGTATTATATATATTTATATATATAATAATAATAATAATAATTTAAGATATATTATAATCATCACATATCGATGTATTACAATAAAGGTTTTGCTGTTTTTGGATCAAGATTTAATTGGTCGTTTTGTTTGGTTTTTATACTGCATATAATACGTAATAATATAAGATATTCATCGTGTACAATCATCCGACAAATATTTCACCCTTCAACCCGACACATCAAACATCACGACAAACGTATGCGTGTTAAGTTCTAAAAAGATACAGCATAAAATATAATGAACTGCAGCACATTGCAATCAGCTGACCGAAAATAAAAATTTACATCTGCTAACAATACGACGTTTAAAGATAAATGGCGAGTATATAATAATTTAATATTGTATAGTATACAGAAAACAACGAGAGATATAAAAACAGAACATGACAAAGTTAGAGAGAAAGAGGCAGAGAAAAAATTTCGTTTTCGTAGATTTCGTATTTACTTGAGCAACATCGGAAATATAATATAGGTACGAGCAAACCGACGACGGTATAATTATTTATATAATAGTAATAAAAATAATATCAACAATACGATTATTGTTATTCGCAAAATATATAATAATAGTAATAATAATTCGCTATCGTATAATATCGGTGCTGTATATTATTAAGTAAATAGTATAATATTACAATATGGTATAATTTAAGGTTTTTCAAAAACGCGTGTATTACGAAAAATTGACGAGACGAGTGATAAAAATTAATTAAGAATATATCGCATGTTTTCCTCGCGTCGTGCGCGTCGACATTATTTAGATACGTTTTTGTTGATTAAATTCATTTTTCTCATTTTTTTCATTTAAAAAAAAAAATTGTTTTTCATACAAATAATATTGAAATATTTAAATTATATAAAGTCATTACTATTATTATTTATTAATTTGTTTAAAGGACGTAACAATTATAATGGTAAACAGTTTCGTTGTAATTACCACTAAATAAACCGTGTATAGTAGTAAAAATGTTTATAATAAAGTCGTGTCTATTTTTTGAGCTTTTTCGAGTAGTTTCGCGAGCGTTATTAAAGTAAAAATATATAAATATACATAATATATTATCGCATTATTATTAAATGTATTTAAGTACGGATTATATTAAAAGTCTGTTTGTTATTCGTTTAGTTTCGTTTGAGGCGACGCGATGGTAAGATATTCGATACATAAACGACGTCCGGTGCCAACGGTTTTGTTCACATTAATGATTTACAAACACATTAAATCCTTAAAATTACATACAAAAACAACAAAATAAATAAAAGAAAAAATAATAATAATTTTAACTTAAAAAAGCATACAAAAATAGTTCGAAAAAAATTTTACACAGAAATATTATTACACATAACATTAGTACCTACATAATATAATATGTTGTGTATATATATATATATACATTATATAAATATGCACAAGAATAATTAAAAACTTACACCAACAATATAATATATTATGACCTTAAATCTATTCTTATAAATTATGGTTATGTACAGTATTAAGGGGTTTCGTTGACTTAAGTTGAGAAAAAACACGTTCTCGGAACAAAAATAATATATATATATATAAAATTACAATCGTAATAATTATATTTAAGATAAATGGTAAAAATAAAACTATACACACACGTATATGCGCCGTGTGCATATAATAATTAAGTTTTCATCTTTTATTTTTTTTGTTTTTTATTTGTTCCGAATCGAATTCATTTTCCTAATTAAAATAATAATAATAATAATAATTAAAATTTTGTACACGTTTCGAGATTTGTTTTAAATATATATTATATATACTAAAAACGTAGAGATCGGTCAAACTAACAATAATTAATTTATATGATATATATTTCTGTTTTTTTTTTTAAATTTTTTTTTTAAATGTTATTAAATATAATATATATATTTGTATATTATATCATAATATCTTCTCGGTTAATTATTGTCAGTCTTTACACACACACACATATACACATGCACACAGACGACGGTTGCAGTAGCATCAGCTACAACAACCAGCAGGGAGTACATTAAAATATATTATTATAATATTACATTGTTTAAACGGTAGCAGCAGCGATGGCAGCAGCACACGTTCACGTGAAAAAAAATATAATACGAAAAAAAAAAGAAACACAAGTTTTTGCGCGATATTTACACGGCGGACGAGCCTAAACTCGAATAGTGCAGAATTCTATATACTAATAATATTATATAAATTACACACGCACGCACATACATTCATCTTATATACATGTTATACACACCGGATGCAGGTTAAATTTTACCTACTTACGGTAATGATAATAATATTAATAATAATAAAAATAATAATAATAATAATATGACGACGGACTAGCGACGACGATTTTGCATCCGAGGCGGAAAGAATAAATTATAATATAGCAATTGTAATGATGAAGATGACAATATATTTGTATATTATATATTATCATTACGAGGTCTTTGGTTGTTTTCGGGTTTACATAATCCTCATGCGCCGGAACAATCAATTTCGACGATGTCTTTGGGGACGTCGACAAACTGGTACACCAGTCTCTGGCCGTCTACTTTGGCCAGAATTCCTCTCTGGTAGTAATACCTGTGAACAAATAAACGAACGAACGGTTATTGATATGATCACATTACATTATATATTATAACTTAAAAACAGCATTAATTCAGTTATGCAGTCATCTAAATAGTTTTATATACATGAGTGTAATATACTTTTGAGTATTGGTACAATTTTAAACTTAATTTGGCGTTAAATGCTTTAAAGAACGTTTTTTTTTTAAAATACATACATAAGACAACGTGAGTTCAAAGTTCGATCAATGGTCGTGTTCGAATACGAAACGAGCATATCATTAACGCAGTTTGTTTGTTTATTATTTATTTTGTTTAATTGAAAAACATCTAAACCGGTAAGCGATAATTTAAATTATTTATAAGTACAAGGACACGCGTATACAACGAACGTTGTAGTCAAAAAATTATACGACATTCGGTGATGTTCGGGATATACGTGCAGTCCCTATGCGTATATTTTAAGTATCCGGAAATGCAAAGACTTTGGAATCTACATATCTGCATAATATAATTTACTATTATTATATTCTATGTACGATTGGTGCAATTCCATTTAACTAGCCTAACGTAAACGTAGTTAATTAAAATAAAAAAATTAATTAAAAAACGAACCAATAACAGAATAATGTATACTTTGATAAAAAAAATAAATCAATTCGTATCGAACATATTATTATAATAATATATAACGTACAATATTACATTATACGCATTTTCGTTAGCTGCTGCATAAATTAATAAGTAACTTAGTTATAATATTACGACATTATGTTATCTGTTGTAACGTAGCGGTAGACTATTGTAATTTGTAGAAATATAAACGCTACGGTGTTTACAAACAACGTCTGGTGGTCGTCGAAAGCGAATTAATCGATTTATCGATATTAATACGTAGGTAAAAAGCCGGTATACATATGCAGCTATATGTTTAAATGTTTTATAATGTTATTATTTATTACACACCGATCATTACTGATTTATACGAACGTTGCACGGCGTGCACGTGCGGCAGTACCGATAAATATAATATGATATATTCAACGAATATTCTAATAGAATACCGCCAGCATGCAACAATGAATATAACATAAAGTATGATGCAGCGTAAATGATTATTACTTGTTAATTTAGACTTTAGAGACCGGATTTCTATGCACTTAAAATGGTGAGATTAAGATGTTTTTATGCAGTAAGATATTCTTATACATATGAAAAATATCGGCATCTGTTCTATGCCAACCTATAGTCGACTATAACCAACCCAAAAAAATAAATATTGTTTATCACTACAGAAACTGTATCGCAAAATTAAAAATATGTCACACACTTATTCGTTGACGGATTAAACGTCTTGAGAGCTTAACCAGTTAAAATATATAATCGTCCGTTCTCTATACTATTATTAAATATTACTTCTATCATTATTGCATTAAAACCGTTTTAGTCGTATGCTATATATATATATATATGACATCACAAACTATACGTATGAGAATAATATATAAAGAGATTAATAATTCGTACCTGAGAGCACGTCCCATCGTCTCGTAATTCATGTCGGGTTTATTCTTGTGCTCTCCCCAAAGTTTAGACACCGCCTTGGAGTCGACCAACTTGAAAACACCCTTTTCTCGATTCAACCACTTGATGAACCTCGGGCAGTAGTCGGAGTTTTGCAACAGTTTCAACAAAAACTCCCACAGGTATGTCGTGGAACCTGTATACGAAAAACCGCGTTCCGTCAATATAACATTTTGATATGTATATAACGATATAACTATCACACTAATCGTCTAATAAATACGATTTTTTTTTTGCACATGGGCAAAAATTATTGTGCGTGGTTCGATCGTTACGAAATAATTGTTTACCTTCTCGGCTTTTCCGCTTGGGTCCCGTGGCCGGACAAGACTGCTGTTGGATGACTCCCGGTGAACCGGCCGCGGACGGTCGGCCGACACTGCCGTATTTCTTGGGCTTCTTGTTACTGCTGCTCTTGTTCCCGACTGCCTTTTGGTGGTACATGGCCGCGGCCGCGGTGGGTGCGCCAAAGTCCATGTAGTACAGGTCATTGAGATTAGCCGCTCCGGCGCCGTTGGGCTGGTAACAGTTGGCCGCGGCCGCCTGGATGACAGACCCGCGACCGACCACGGTGCCAGCGCCCGGAAGCGCGGCCGTGGGTGGGCACGGTGGCATGGTGAAGTGACCGCCGGATGTAGGGCTAACCGCCGAACCGTAGCCACCGATTGCCGATGGATGATAGCCAGCGACGCCGCCTCCATAAGGATCTGCGTACGACAAGAAACGAAAGACTTTGGTAAAAATAATAATAATAGTGATAATATAATTTTAGCGGGTACACGTTATTTTGATACAATATTATTGTTTTTTGAATGTAAATTAGTTTATATTGATTATTTACAACGTAATATTGTATAGACGAGACCATACGTATAATATGTAGCGGTCGTTTCAAGGGCGTACGTGAAAAAAAGCGCGAGCGTTGCGCTGCATGGTCGCAGACGAAAAGTTGGTCTGGTAGTGGATATAGGATGGACTAGAAAAAATTAACGAGAAATGGAATAAAAACAAAAAAAACCTACATTTTCGATTTTTTTGAAATAATTATTATATTAAAATATTATACAGTGATATCGACCTTGATATTATTACTTTTATATAACACTACGGGCGGCGGAAGCGTTCAAACAATTTGCATAAATATAGTATCTATATAGGTATACTTATATACAGAATTCACTATTCGCCTATCAGATGTAATATTCCAACTGTTCGATTGCATGCTATTATTATTTTTATTGTATTACAAACGTGTATTAATAATATTTCGCTCGCTTACACACGTTATACCTACCTACCGATACCAATTTCTAAACATTCCGAACGCGTTTCCGCACAAAAAAAAACAAGTACGGTCATCGTGTACACGATATAAGTATAGTTACTTCATTACTCGTTATTATTTTAAACAGACCGCGTCGTATAATATATGTAATGACGTAGCACGTAAATACTTTTCCCGGTTTTGCGCACGAGACGTCCTTAAAAGGAGACGGACAGACGACGGACTCTAAATACAAGACGCGTATAACGTAAACTACGCGTTGGCTATAATATAATACTCGAATAGTAGTCATTTTATAGCAGTTCGCCAATAGAACTTTATCAGGAGCATTTCGATTTTTCGATCGATAGAACCCAAGAAAAGTGACAATTTTGAAAGTTATTGAAATCCGAAGGGCTCGCATCACGGTATTTACTATGAGTAAAATGAGTAGTTCTGGACACACGTTTCAGGCTTATGTGCTATGCTATACAATTCGTTATGACGTACAAAATATAAACGAAGCATTTCGCAATCTCATTATTTAATATATATAATATATATCATGATTCATGAGCCACGCACGCGGTCTATAGAGAGCAGGAAACCGTTGTGGGAACGACCGACGACGACGATGCAATTTCTTATTCAAAAGAAGATTAAAATATTATTATATGATTAGTATTATAATAAACGTCTTCTATTTCCTATTATAATATATAGGTGTACATTATACACGTCCGGGTGTATTAAAATATTATTGTTGTACCACCACCGTTCCATAAACGGATTTCCGTTTCGTCCAGTCGGTGTTTTCATTTTTTCTCTCGAATATCATTCCACAGTCCGTCCGGACTAGAGAGGCTTACTCGCGGACCAGTTTTAGACACCTATACGAACAACTGTGCTTAGGTACACGAAAAAGTTTTTAATTGTAATTGTTAGTACCTGTTACGACATACATTGTGTTCACGTCGTGAATAATAATTTAATAATGTTTCACGGATGATTAAAACGGCAGATCGTATAAGTTTATAGATACGTGGCTATGACTCTTCCCCGCGATAACCCCCACCGAATGTTGTAGCGGTGGACGAACCGGTGTCGAAACCCAGACGGTGGTACCCATATATATAAATGTATTTTTTTCGTTCACCTTGAACTTGGTCTATCTATCCTTCTCTCAATTTTAATCTCTCTCTCTTAAACACATACATTCGTCGTGTGTATACGTCACGTTCCATACGATCGTAGGTATGTGTGTGTGTGTATGCACGCTACACTGCAGTGTTTTCGTACATGTCACTAATATTATACTTAATATCGCGAAAAACCTAAGCGCATGTTACGTGAACAAGGAAATGTGGAATGGTTGTTAAAATTATAGTTACTTGTCTACGATTAAATTGATGATACGATTATTAAACAGATTACAAGAAGAATGATAGAAAAACCGAATTTGGTCGTTTACATTTTTAAATTAAATATCAAGTGTGGAGTTTTTCCTGATTTTATTTTCGTCTCAGACGTACCTATAGATAAAAGTCATAGGATGAATCTAGATACGATGACTGTTAAGTTCAAATCGATTTTACCAATTATTATTTTGTTTTTATTTTATTTTTGCTACTCTACAATATACCTAGTTTTAACAGGAATTTGAATACATTTTCGATATATTGTTCGTGTGATATTGAAAGCATAGGCGATGATAGTGGAGTGCCTTTTTTAGCTCTCTTTAGGCTACTCTCAAAACAATTTAAAGCTTACACTAACATTTAAACAATAATTTTCTTATACTATCACTTTGTGCAGGTAATCCCTTTCCGCCTAAAATACAATTAAATCCCGCCAATCTTCCATATTATGTAAGAGTATTCTGTAACATGCCGTATTCATTTTTACAATATTTCTTATTAACATAAATTTGTAAATATTCAAAATCAGTCTATTGTATATACCTACAGCTCTGTATTATATTATACCGTTTGTATCGTCTTTCCGGGAATGAAAACCGATCGACTTGCGCGTGCGTGGCGTCCGCGATTTCCGCGTTTCGCGTCCGCCTCACACATATATAATGTATAGTTGCAGCAGCTGCCGTCGCTAAATACATCCGCCTGCGGCTCACGAGTGCTATTTTCAGACATAAGTGTGAGCCTGGCCCCCGACGCCGTTATTTGCATTCCGCGGGAATAGGATGGTTGTCGCAACTGTGCCGGGGCCTATCGCGCGGCGATTTACGGACACTGTTCGTCTTTTATGTCTCTAGCGAAAAGTCGCGTAAAGTTGTATTCTAATAATTAACGATATTATAAATCTATTTAATTAGAAAAGAAAAATAATAATCCCAAAACCATTAAAAAATTGCTAAATAGTAGTAATTACTTCAAATGTATAAAATAAGTTTTAATATTTTATTATTCTTTGTCTTACTCATTAGTCACTACCCATCTACAATAGACAGTAATAATTAATAGTAATACGGGATTACAATTTTATAAGTTGTCTAAGTTTTGTATTTTATTGCCTTATTATTTTGACACAGACAATACGCTTAAAGAATAAAATCAAAAAGAAATATCGTATTGTAAATATTAGTATTTATACTTATTTTTAATTTAATTCAATAAAATAAATCAATTTAATATTTAATTATAATATTGGTGCCTGTATAATCACAACATTTTAAGTTGTAATTATAATTATAAAATAATTATACTACAGTGTACCATTACAAGAATCTTTGGTTTCTACTAAAATCGATTATATTGAATTAATACATATCTTCGCGATGGAGAAAAATCGTATAGTTATTTTGCTAAAAATAAAAATGTCGTCGGCGTAGGTGTAGTCGATCTCGAAGGCGTTAGTTAAACGTTTTCGACAAACAATCCGTCAAATCAGAGTAATATTATGAAAATATTATATTATACTTCCTGGTTTCAACGGCGCCTAATCGTCACAACAAAGTCGTACTTGAACAATAATTGTCGATGTAATAACATTGTATTGCATGGGTATCATTTGGTCGTCACGGGTGTAGGTATAAAAATAATGGATATCACAATGTGGAGAAGCAGCGCGCGGGTATATGATATTATTATTTTATATAAGTACCTATAGTGTTATTATGTGAAGGAATAAAAAAAAAAAACCAGAGAACACTGGCGACGAACGCGGAAGTAGTTTCGTGTACAAAAATATAAATCGCCATCGAATGAAACGGAATTTGCGCATGTGAGACGACTCCCGTGAAGCATCGTCGAAGGTCGACGACGGCGCGGCGGCGGTGGCGGCGACCACGTGACCGATAGGTTCGCGACGAGTGGTGGCGGTACTGGCAGCGAAGCGTTACGCAACAGTGACGGGAGGGGCGAAGCGAACACTAGCTCGCGCGTTTTTTGAATAACTACATTATATGATCGTCATACTTAAATTATTATTATTTTGTCAAAAATTCCTACTCAAGCCAAATTAACGCGTTGCCATGAGTAGACAAAGTATAATAAGTAACACGCAAGTGCATGCGTTCTATGTGTTTATTATATCTAGAATTAATAAATTTTTTTATTTCATTTCATCATAATAATAATTAATACGCACACGATGTGTGTCTCTATATCTGAGTACCTACTTCACCACCGACGCCACCTCTGACGCCGCTCCTATTGTGCTCGACGACGAATAATAATAAGATGAAAAAAAAAATTATAAGCTACTCGCCTACGTCTACAACCTTTATGGTGGCGGTGATTATATTATTATTAATATTATCATCGTGCATTCGTGCTGTGTTTGTGTGTTTACGTGTTGTACACTTCCTGAATGCGATAACACAACAATATTATTATATAATTGCACGCGGCGCTTCTTGTTATCTCGAAACAAGAACGCGCACGTCGCGATATTAATGCGTATAATGATTTATTAATCACATTATTTCGACAAACACGTCCGTGCGTACCTACCTACAATACGGTTTTATGTGAATGATATACATCATGGCATCGCAGGAGATAAGGCAGCGGAAACGAAAATATAATATTATTATACATTTATACTACTATAAACATATTATATTAAAAAAATAATAGACGTGCGTTATCAATACGACGATTACGACGAAAGGTCACGCAAGGCAATAGCATATTGAGCATTTCGCGATTTACGAAAATCGTAAACGATGGATCATTTTATATATTTAGCTGTATAGTGTATGTGATATCCATCTCCAAGTATGATAGTGTATGTATCGGGTATTATTGTATTGCTATTATTATAGTGTACGCGCGAGTGAGAGTTAACCTTGAAGTGTTAGTATGTCATTGCTCTATCTCTCTCTTTCGGTCTTTTTCCTCTCCTCTTACATGTCCGTGAATCTGTCTCGCTCACATCTGCATATCATTAGGTTTTATGATATAATATATATATATTATAATGCTCTCTCACTCTTGGTCCTTTATATATCCACTCCACCTCTGTGCTTATTCCGGCGTTCGTCCGTCCGTGTGTATATATATCTCTCTCTCCTGCGCGTCACACAAGCTCACATGCATTCGAGTCGAGGTGGTCACGTGACCACCTTTCAGCGCCGGTTCTCCCTTTCCGCAAATCGCTATAGAAAACGAAATAAAAAACCACCAATCGTCCTCAGGTCGCGCCACCGCGACCGCATTGGCAACACTGCCGAGTATAAACTCGTTTTCATCGCAAAGATTTTTTTTTATACATATGTATTATATTGTTCCAACTCATACACACACATTCACAACCCACACTGAGAGCGGTCGACTTGCGCCAAAACGGCTATTACTGACCAGCCGCACGATCAATAAATTTACAATGTTCTCTTCCACCTTCTCCTTCAGCAAGCATACAAACTTGTCATTATTTTTCTGCAACGTTCACGAAAGAGTATAATAATACGAACGACGAGAGAGAGAAAGAGTATAGATCGTCGAACGAAATGGTAAAAACATATTTCGGAATGAGTCATTTTGCGTAATCTTTGTTTTTTATTAACTTCGAGGAACATATTTTATGCGTTTCTCACATAGCAAATATAAGTTAATCCGATTTCTGCATTCGATTATATTATACGCGTATTAAGTCATCATTTTATCTGTGAACGGTTTTAATTTTTTGTGTGATATTTTTATGAAAAATGAAAAAAACTAGAACAATAATATTGTACCTGTGAAATATAATTATGAAAATATTGATAGCACTCACGATTATTTCGCATGAAAAGTGGATGTTTGGGCGATGGAGGCGCGGGACCGGGATGATGGTAAGCACCCGGTGGTGGAGCGTTCACTCCGTATATCCTGGAGAATAAGTCCTGTTGTTGCTGTTGCTGTTGCTGTTGTTGCTGTTGCTGTTGTTGTTGTTGTTGTTGCTGCTGCTGATGACATTGTGCGATACTCGGTGGGTCTGGACTAGTACGGCGACCACAAGAAGAGACTGATAAAGCGTACAGAAAACAATGAAACAAAACCAAAGACCCAAAAACATTAATCTCATATCTTTAGCATAATATAACGAATTATAAGCTTATATAAAAGGAACAACTAAGGCGGGTACTGAGAGGAAAATGTTCAGAGTTGAATATGATTGAGGACATTGGTTCATGATTGGATGGTTTAAGTTAGTGCAATATTGCAATAATATAAAATATTATATTTTATGGACGTTATTTTGATAGTCTCGCAATAAATGCGGATGACGAGGAAAAAGATTATAAGAGGAAAAACTCATTATTATAATACAACATAGTCGGTTATTAATGCGAACATAATCTGACCTTGGTGGTGATACTGGTGCGGTTGGAGCCGAGCCCTGAGCTCGGTGTCGGTGGACGTGTGTCCACTGCTGCTGCTGTCCACGTCGGACACTCCGGAGTCCGCGGGGCTGGGAGGCAGAGAGCCTGAAACGAAACGAGCAAACACGTTAATTTATACATCATAAAAATATAAAATAATATACACAGCGCATTATTCATACGAGATGCACACGGGTTTTATACAATACAATATAATATCGTACACAGTATATTATTTATATAGTGTAGTATAATAATATAAGTAATCATATGTATACGCGAGCCTAAGTATATAGGTATACATAGTATTATATATAATATACAAAGGGGGACAAACATACATTTTTGTAACAAGTTAATAAATTATTAATTAACTTAATAACTTAACTGTTGAAATCACTAAGATTCTTACGGTTGATTTAAAAATAATCCATCAAGTAAAAATTAAAAATGTTTTTGAAATAAATTGTTGGTTTTATATACATTTAAATGTAATGTACACGGTTTTAAATAAAAATAATCTAATACTTAAATAAAAGGTATAATACTATATTTTTTGTTACGTTTTTTGATATAATAATATTTTATACAAATAGACACAATACGTATATTCTTTATGATTCAGGTGTATTAATTAAAAAAGAAGATAAGCCTTTTTGTAAACTGAGATAAATTTGATATATTTTTTTTTCATATTAACTTTAAGCTTGACGCGTTAAATGTATTATTTGTTTTCACTTGACTTAACATGAATTAATTATTTTCATTAACTTGCCCATCTCTGTGTATTAAAATATGTACCTCGATTGTGAATACTTTACATAAAATAATGATAATATAAGCGACAATTATTTTAAGTGGTCGCGGTCAAGTTGAGTTAGAACGGGACGAAACGTGTAGGAGGTGAACTGTAATACAAAACTTTATACCCATATTATAACCTGTTTTAACTATTAGATTCGCGTCGTAATTTTATGTTATATCGGACAATTTTTACTTTAGTTTTAATATGTCACAAAAATATATATTGTTTACGGGAAAAAAATGCAATCGTCGCGTTGCGGTAGCTCGTTGCAGATTTTCGAGTACTTTATCATTTTATTTTACATGTCGATGACGTCGAGTTTCCGGGGTTTTCGTCGACCAGAAGATTAAATCCACGATTTGCTGTCAATACGCGGCGTGATAATATTTAATCAACGCGTGTGCGAATAATACCGACACGTAACGTAATTTATTGTTATAACACTTATAACCTAATATACAATATTTGGCGCGTGTCGTGCGCACTGAGCATATATATGTATATACAATGCATACCTAATACATATCGTTATAGGTATTAGATATAATATTTTAAATTATATTTATCATTGTTGCGGGTGCGGTATGGGTAGTTTTAAGTATTATATTACAGTCGGTTGTTTTGTTCGCCTGTTAGCGGCACTGGTCAGTATCGTGCCGATCGACGTCGGTTTATGCGTAAAACCGAGTGTCGTAAAACTTGGCGTTACGAAACGCGTTAGAGAATTTTCCGTACATTAAACACGACAGCAGCTGTTTAATAAACACACTTTGCGAATATACATGACTATATATGATCGCGATATCTGGTTCACTGCTAATTTCCGACGATGTTTTATTATTATTATTTATTTTTTTATATTTTCCGTCGGCAGAGATAGAACACGAGGTTTTTTGTAAACAATCGGATTATTGGCTCATTAAATAAAATAAGTATAGTATAAACGATACGTCTAGTTTACGCGTAAATATTGAACAATTTTAATTTTTCGACGATGTTGCAACATTTAAACGAGTCAATGGCCGCGCGGAGTCATAAAGTATAAATAAAATAATTATTATTCGCGTATTATCATATTTTATATATTATATACAGAGTAATTTACTAAACATGCTTAACTCAATTTTTTTCTTTTAAAAATGAATTATTCAAATTCAGATTTTTAAAATATTTAAATATACCTATAAGACCATATTTATAGAAAAAATATTAGTTAAATAATTTAAAGAGTTAAGGAGGGTAGGGAGTTCTGACTTGAAAAACAGAAGTTTCAGGATACAGCTTAAGCAGCACAACAAATTTCAAGAATTTTTAAGTTTAGTCATTAAATATATTTAAATATTCAAAAAAATCAGATATTGAATAACTGCAATAACAAAAATGAAAAAAAAAGGTGAACATATTTAGTGAATCATCCTACATGTTGTTATTGTTTTTGCTGTGACGCAAATGTGTTCATGCGTATCGTGTGATGAGAAAGGCATTCAGAAAAGAAACGTTTGGCTGAGAAAATAGTAAAGAGTCGGAACTGCGACGGAAAGTCCCCATGCATTATACCTATACAACAGCATAATGCGTATACGTATAATATATTAGGTATCATCATTATACGCGCGTCGGTTATGACCGTTGGGTGTAAAAGATATATTACTTATAGTCTATAGAGAGAAAAAGGTATGGACGATACGAAAACGGGTTTCGGCCGATTAAACGCGCGAAATAGAGATCCATTAATCACTGCGGCAGATTGACGGGCGTCGACTAGCCAGACCTCGGACTGACCGGGTCTCATGCAAATGTCACGTCCGCCGTACAGGTGTAGATCACACGCGGTGGTCATCGCCATTAGTCATCGTGTCCGCGAGTCGGTCCCCCGGACGACGGCCGATGACGGACAATGATAATAATATACGCGCATCCCTTCTGTATTTTGTATTCCTTTCTATATCCGCGTACACCGTATATCATTATTATTATACTGTATAATATTGTTATTTCGTGATACGTCCGAGGAGAGGCTATTTATCAGTCTTACTGCGGTGGTGCGAACCGTGACGATATTGTTGATATGTTAAGTATAATAATTATTATGCGCAAGCGTTTTACATTGTATAGGAAACGGCGGCGGCCGCCGCGACCGTTACAAACAAAAGCAGGAAGAAGCAGCCGGATAACGACTATGACTATGACGACAACGACGATCGCCGCCACCACTACCATCGCCACCACCATCATCATCATATCGTATACACTTCCTATAGGTACGACGCCTCTTCTTCTGGCCCGCGCAGGTCTTCGCCGTTCCAGGAGAGTCTGACGACGACGGCGAAACCGGTTCGGCGAGCGTATAAATTCACTGACCCCGCGCCGAGACCTTGGGAGTTTCTCTACATCGCGCCGGTTTTTTTTTCATCGGTTTTACACGAGTCTTTCAATTTTACTCTGCAACGGCGGAGAGCATTCCAAAAAGTGAAAAAAAAAAATGATATAATATATAAAATACAATCGTCCGCGTCCCCAGGAAACGATAATAACTCATTGGCGGACCGCGCGAATTGGCGTAATCCTTGGATTATAATAATAACAATAATATATAATATCGAATATACGTAGGGTATACCTATTTAAAGGGCCATAAGGGAAATGTACCCTGCGGAGCAGCTGCTGCTGCTGTATAATGTGCGTACAACTCTTTTTTTCCTCTTTTCCGATTAATTTTTTTTTGCCGCGTCAAAGATATTATATAATATAATATTATTATTATTATTTTATTTTTTTTTGTGCTGAAAACGCGGAATTTCAACCCAAAAAGGGTGCCGTAGGTTCTTCTCATTGTTGTTGTCGTGCGAGCATATCCTCATCTGCACGGGTTGTTGTGCAATCGGGTGCATTTTATATATACAGCTGAATAACGACAACCATCATAGTGTTCACCTGCAGTAGTCCCTCATCATCCCCGCATTGCACTCGCAGCCATCGTTATACAATACGCGGTCGGTGTGATTTTTGGGGCATTTCTACCCTTTTTCCGCGCAAAGGGTTAGCCGGCCGTAATTTCGACGACGCAATTATTGCGTTCATAATATAATACACAGTAGTGTTGTATAAAAGGGTTTTATCGTTCGGCGTGGGGTTTTTGACACTTTTGTGGAAACCGGTGGCGCGTGTCGTTCTTTGCGCAATTTCAATGGGATCGACGCCTGCTGCTGCGGCTTTATTATTTGTATTTATATACGGTTGCGATAAAAGGGTTTGGCGCGCGCGTATCACGAAAACAACTTCGCGGACAATACGCATGCACATAAACACACAGATGTTTCCATAATTCTGATGTTTTCGACGGAAATCCAATACGCAAGGGTTGACACCGAAGAGCGGTTATTATTATTATTATTATTATCGTTGAGTTTTTCGCGACTGCCAACAGGAAACACGAGGTATAAACATAAAAAAAAAATTATATAAATAGTTAGCAAACAAACATGACCTATAAATTAAAGAAGAACGAATAAAAAAAAACTTGCGGATGTGCTTGCACAGCCCCCGCGGTTCGTCCTGCTGAGTATTACGTCACGATGGGCAGTTATGCGCGACGACCGCAATAACGACGATATTGTATAGTTATGTTTCTGGGACGTAGACAGATTCTTATCGCTATGCAATAGTTGCAATAATAATAATAAATACGATTTCAACTTACAAGACAGACCGACGACCACGTTATATCGTTATATGTTCTTAAACAATTGTTATTATTATCCTTGCGCGTTGCGCGTAATTTTTCTTTTAACTATACCTTTAAAAATATTTAATATAGATATCCATTATAATATATTATTAAGCGATAAAAACACTAACCGTGAAACTACATAATATTATGGAATATTAATATGATTTGTGGTTTTAAATTTGAATTTGACATTGAAAACTAACGAAATATGATTTAACATATTGATACATTAACATATTAATGTACATTATAATATTATAATCATTTTTAAATTATGTTTATATTAATTTTATTGTAATTATTTACATCGCTTAGCGTGATTTTGTATAGATTGCTGGTTATTAAAGTTTGAATACAATTTATAATGTGATAACAAAGTATAAAAATTAAAACCATATATAAATTCTAGAATATCTTAATTTATAATACAGTCTAATCTCTGTATTACATTAATATAATTTTAAATAAACCATTCAAACTGAAAAGTGAAAACTATTCAAATTTGTTTGTTAGTTTTTGTATAAGTCGTATTATACATAAAACTCGAGATACATAAAGCGTTTTCAAAAATTTATACACTGCAGGTACGTATAGATCATTATAATATAATGTAATAAATGTTCTTTAATTTCAACGGACATCCGGTTCCGGCAATACGCCCACAACCGTAAATATGCTATATATTTACGTTTTAATGTTTGCAGTTTCTTGTATTTATATCATAAATAAAATCAACCATGCGCGTTTATACCTACACTCGAAGAGTTTATCAAGACACTGAACATATTCTTTTTTTAAAACCGAATGTAATGACATGTTTTGAAATGTGACACGTACAATAATATTACTATGACGTGGTTTATTTTTATACACATATAATAAATGTAATCGCTGAGTTCGAAATTTTTTTCCACCTGAATCGCAAATAACTAAAGGATTTTACATTGACAAATTTAGAGGCTCTTTTTTTCTCGCGAGTCTATGTCCTACGTTATGATATTTGTCGACCCAGATTGCATGACAATCTATTGACTTTATAAGATTATAAGTTATAACATATGCCAGTATATAATATGGTTTCCAATTCCGGGGGGTATATTGTTTTACTTTATGTCTTTACGATGACAATGACACGATTTTATAGTTTTTTTTTTCCGTTTAACATGTTTCTCGACAACAATTCTCCTTGAAGGATAAAGCAAAAAAGCTGATTCTCTGAAGTCGTTGAATATATCAAACCTAAGGGATTATAATAAGAACCTGTTTTTCGCGTTGGTTCCAATGGTCAGTCGTCGCCGACTGACCATCGGTCATCTACATATACGTATAAGGGGAGACCGATGACCTTTCCCATAAACCTATACCTATAAAACCGATTTTTTTTTTTACCAACGGCTGAACGACGGGAAATAAATCGGTAGTAATTTATTATTTCGTATGTCCGTTATGCCAAAGGTCGTAACCGAATATCAAACTGACCAATATACTAGTATATACATATACAGAAATTGTGGAAAAGTATTTTACAAATTTATTGTGCTTTAATAACAGTATAAAAGCTTTTATATTTTATGGTTGTATATATGGAAAACAAAAATTTACGAAAAAAAGTATACATTTAATTAATAATAATTTAGCGTTTTCCAATAAACACACAAATATAATAATAGTTATATTTGTTATTTTGTATATTCCTTTATTCTATATTGATTAAAATTATAATATTGTAGTAGCATACTGTTTGAACAGTTTTAATATTATGATCGTTTTATAATAAACGTTCGGAATGCCGTGATTGAAATAAATTGCACGCATTTGGAATTATATATCCTGTTCGATTATTCACATGTATAAGTGTAATACGGGAATTTTTTTACTGTAACACCACTATAAATAGCAGCGCGTTTCGCAATTGAATCAATACGAACCATTATTTTATTTATCGACCAGGTGTGAGCGATCTGTACGCTGTCGTAAATATATACACATCACAAACACATTTATAATTTAATCACATATTTTATACACAAACTTTGTCGCACTTTATGTGCTCTGCGGCCGGACAATGGTCAGGGGGAGGCGAACCGGTTTCCGGGGTGTATACCTATGTTATTATACCGGTCGTGTCCGGTGATGTCCACATCGTGTACCAAAACATGGTCCGTTGACCACGGCAGTGGGGGTAGTGAAGAAACGATATCACGGGCTGGTCATATCCCTCATCGATATTGACCATCGTCCGGCGGTCGAACGGGTTTGACCGCCACGCAAAATATTTAACGTACGCATATAATATTGTAATAATAATATATAACCGACGATTCCCAAGGAATGACCAGTGGTCAGAATTTTTTATTATAGGCAAGCACACGATAATCGCCGTTACAAGCAGTAGGGGTGTGTGCGTAGAAGACGATTTTTGATTGACCCCGCGAATAATGGAAGTAATATTTAATATATACATACTCGGCGGTTTCCGTCGATACGACGAATATTACCGATGTGGTCATGGGCAGGGGGTAATAATATTGTTTTCCCGGGAGTGCGCCGATGGGAACTAAATTTAACGATTAACTATTTTTCAATACCATTTTAGTATACGGTTAACGGGGTCGAGGAAATCGGCGTTAAACACTTGTGTCGTAGTCATCGCTCGTCGTCATAACATTCAATAAAAATACATGATGTAAAAGTGAAATTTAATTTTTACGAAACTATTTGGCGAGAAAATCATGTATACGATTCGTGGTGTCTTGGGTTTCAAGGCCTCGAGTACATAATTGGCTGTATTTAACGCGTTATACTCTGTATTGAACGTGACGTTTGACATACATACGTTTAATATATTATTATGAATTAAAAATTTATATATTATCAAATCATGATTTAGTACCGATGGAAATTTTCTTGATAAAATATATGCCATCCGCAGGACAATAGAGCTGTATTTTGAGATAAATTATTATAATACAATATAATTCGCAGAATACGGTCAAAGATCATATTATATATTATTATTAGTGCTATATCATATCATTGTATATTGATGCATGCGTAAATCGTATAAAAATATTAATTATCTGTCCGAATGAAATTATAATGGCAATCAACCAAGTGAATAAAATATTTATTAAAATAATGTGAATGAGTTATTCACATGGGTATACCTAATATATTATTGTTGTCGTCCTTATGGGTTTAATGCTCCGAAAAAAATCAATGGCGAAAGATCACGTCGATGTGCATACGTACCGGAAACTTCCGAATCGCGAAGTGAAAACGGACTTTCTTTGAACCGGCTCTTCCGGTCTCGTGACGCGGCAGCCGTAGATATATGTGGAATATATAAATAGATATAATTTTATGCGCGAGAGTCAGAATAACGCTGCTATCACGGTGTAAACAATAGAAAGTCGTTGGTTAGAATTGAAGGGATATATAATATATTATATTGCTTAAACATATGCATTTATTTTATTACAGGTGTACTCGCGCTTCGCCCGGCTGATTTAGGTCACAGCGACGAGACGTCGTGACGACACAGCAGTGCGTCGTTTTGACGAAACGAAATCGTAATAAAGCAGTATAATATGTATAATATTATGCGAATACTTCGTCTGCTGAGATCGTGAATTACATTGTGATAGACGACCCTACGTAATAATTTATGCATAAATTGAGATTTAATGCTGCTGTACGGGCATCAGCTTTGGTTTTTGCAACACATTCAAAAAACAATGTACGATAATATATTATTATATTAAACCGTATAAGTATCTATACTCCGTGTGACATACATAATATGCACTTAAAAAATATTTTATTATTGGGATTATGATTGTTGTTACAATATTAAATTATGAATTATGATTATCGAATATTCACCGGCATGATGGAATCCGTGGGGCAGGGCAAACGACAACTGTTGCCTGGGCGGCAGATGGTCGGCCGCTCCTGGGTTTCCTACACCACCGTTGCCAGCGATCCGGAGGTGATCCAGGAAGTCGATGTTCTCGTCCTTTTCATTACCTGCGACAAAAGAACATTTGCGTTAGGCAGGTATTACAAACGTGTACATGAATAATGATTATATGAGTAGTATATCATATGATACATGCAGTTGAAGGGTATTGTGAAAAATGTCTGGTGCAGTGATCAACAATTATATTATAAAACGTGGATGAAATTTTATTGAAACCGGCTAATATTTTATTGTGCCATTCGAGCGACCAATTTAATGTTTTCGGCGTTTTTCGTATAAATCCATTTGTATACCAATATATGTATAATATTAAATGTGTATTGCATCGACTGCGTAATGAGTTAAACTTTAATACATTTCGCGATTGATAAAATATAGAATCAAATTCGATTCGATAAAAATAATAAATCTATACATATAGTCACATAGACAACGTCGCCAACATCATATAATCGCAGACACTTAGGTCCCGGCATCGTGGCGACCCTCACCCACTGCACCGCCGGGATGAGTAGTGGTGGTGGTGAGGCCGACGGCATGAGGGGGAATAATTGACCGGCAGATACGGCACCGGAAGGGAAAGTGGGTTGAGGCGCCGCCGCAACCGCCACACGGTTGCCACATCGTTTCCTTGACCCACATTTTCACCTGCTTCCCAAAAGACACGTCTCCCCCGCAAACGCATGAACGTACATATTTTAATAATACATACACTATTGTCGGACGTTTTATTATATAGTACTTAACCAGCTATTATGTACATGTAGGTACACACTACACAATAACATATAGGTAGTATCGAATGTTTACGAACAATCGATAAAGATCGCCTCCCCCACTATATTTTAATAACTCGATCGACCATGATTATATTATTGTTAATATTACCAATGGTGAAAATTAGATCGCTGACGATTTTTTTTTTTGGTTGCTCCGTATAGGTATACGATCCGGAACAAAGAAAGTGACGACGGTGAATTTCGCGTTTGTTCCGGTATACCTCTTTATATATATACAATATTAACGCACACAGACACTAAATAAGGCGGTCGTTTTGAAAACGAATCTACTTTCAATGTTTATAACTCGCACTACGCGCACATTTCATCCGCTCCACTGGCACGTATTTTATCGAATATATTTTACCTACGTCATTATAATGTATCCTTTCAATCTATTATATGCATAGATTATTATACCATCGGTGTCGGAAGTCAATACAGTGTTAAACGTTTTGTTTTTCAGTGTGTTTTTTTTTATTATTAATTCTTTGTCTAGCCTACCTATATTATATCGTGACATTGGTTGTATATTAAAATATTAAGTATTAATATTATCTTTGTATTACATCAAGAGGTTGTAAAATTGCGGCCATTGCCGTTTATAAAACATTGTCCATGCGTTTGTGTTGTTTTTTTTCGTAATATAGCGCATATTATGTTCCCCGGCGTCTTAGCCTTGAACAGCTTAGATATATAATTGTATTATGTATCTATTATTGTATAGCAGTATAGTCCCCACCCATAAGGGACCGGAAAACCTATGCCAAAAAATAGTGGGCGAACACAATTTCTCGTTGCAATCAGGTCAACGCGTGTGTTTTGGCATTAAGTAAAAAAAATTAAAAAATATGAATAAAAAAAGAAGAGTAAGAGAATGAAAGAAAAATTCTGATTCTCTCCGAAAATAAACGTGCGGGAGGACGACCCATCGGCGCGCGGTACACGACGAATACAAAACTAGGTCAAACGCCCTTAGACCCGAAAAAAAACAGGCCGACCATACAAAAAATACCCGTGACCAACTGTTGTCTCGGAATTGGGTCACGTACACGCAAGGGGTTAAATCATTATTGTAGACAGTTTTTTTTTTTTTAACTCTTCTCTCCGTGCAATAAACTATCGTAACTTGTGTGTATAATATAATATTCATTCTTAAAACGGTTAAATTGACCGGAACAAACGAGTGTTCGAAGAAGAAATCTTAAGAATACATACATATTATGGGATACCACACATCTATATAATATATAACCTATAAAAAAGAAAAAGGGATTGTGACTATTTGTCGTGTGCGTATGACCCACATATTTATTATCTTGGTATACTATTTGTTTTATTTTACTATCGTCGACGATATACATAATGGTCCCGTCGTTTGGGGTTTGAGGTCTACGGCCTCAATCGCTTCATGCTCATAAATGTCTAACTATGGCCTTGGGGTTGAAAAGGATATCGGTTTCGGAAATTCTAAAGCAGACCACGACGTCGACAAACATAATAATAAATTTTGTTGGGGTATTATTTTGTTGTATATAATATTATACACATCTCAACATATATATTACCTATATTATGTATGTATTTAAATAACTGACTCGTGTGTATTCGGAAAAAAAACCGAATCCGTGATTTGAGAAACGTCGTGGGATGACGGTATTTGAAAAAAATCGTGTGGTAGTAGGTATTTCTTTACATATATTTTGGCGTTAAGCGTTTTTTTTTTCTTTCAAAGATATTCGACAATTGTTGGAGGCGGCGTAGCATAGGAATATAATAATTTATTGTAATACGAAGCATTACTCGGTATAGCCGCGGTGAGATAATAACACTATTATACTGTAGTGCTAAAAAGACGATGGCATTGTATAATAACGGATCGGTTATTATGACGTTGCAACACGCAACCGACGACGATAGGGACGCGACGGACCACGACGACACGACACAATCCGAGCACGTCGATTATACGACGATCGTGTTGTTTTAATGGTGTTTGTTGATTTTTTTTTTTTTGACAATGCGCTTACGTAAGGTTCTATGTAACACAACCACCTGGTCGTAGCGTCTAAGTAGTTCACGCAAATAACGATGTATAAAAATGATATATAAACCACGTTTGAATTATAATATTATAGGTGTTTTAGGAAAGATCACGGACCGGCTGCTGCACGCGGGAAAAGGGACGCGACGGTAAAAAAAATTAACCTTATGGTGTGCGCGGCTGACCCAATTCTCTATCTCGTATATTATTATGTGATAGGACGTTATGTATATACGCGAACACGAAGAAACGCCCCGTCATATACCTACACCTATGTGTAATATTATAATATATACACGTACAGCAGCAAGCAAGTCGTCGTCGTCGTTATCGTTACGTTATATAGACATTTTTGATTTATATTATATGTCGAGATGTCGACACGAGACTAAATTTACCGCACATAGTGCCAAGTTCGTTAAATAAAGTAATTATTAAAGTAAATATTATATATGTTTATATTTGAAAATTATTATTGTGAATTTTAATCCACTTAAGTGTCCAGAAAATGACTTGACTTCATTATAACATTGACGTTAACGAAAATAGTTTCATACTTATACTGCATTATAAACGTGGTATGGTGCTGTACCCTAATAAAACTACCGATGTTGTTATAATAATATAATGTAATATACATGCGCTGCGATTCTACTTTAGCTATATAATATCGTAATAATAACTTCAACGTTATTATAATATTATTATCGTCGTCGTAAATCGGAAATGTCGACTGGGTCATACGACGACATTTCGCAATAACCCCACATATCTCCACAATGGCACAATCTATATATAGTTATAAATATAACTCGGACCGCAAGACTTTCACTGAAACGACTTTTGCGTGGGAGTTTTCAGCGAGCAACCGTCCCCCGCCGCCTGCGTGTGTAGACGCGTGCTGCAGGGTGGATGAACGGGCGACGACGGCGGGCAGACGCTAGTCTCAAGGCTGCGTTCCGCCCTCGCCCTATTTTCGCGCGCGCGGGTCAGACGTACCGGAGACAGACGCGGTGTGTGGATAATCGTCGACGCTGACGCCGCTACCAGCCCCGTCGCACCCGCTGCCACCAGCACCTACCCTTCGAGCGAGGCGTTTTTTTGCCGGCAATCGATAACAGCTGATTCCGGTCCGTTCGTCCGCCGCGCCACGCGCCGGCCCATTCAACCGGTGCCCGGAAAACGTAGCCGAAGCCGCCGACAAATAAAATTATATACTTTATATGTACATAAAAGCATATATCTGTGATATCTGGGCGAGGGCGTACGATACTGATTTATCTATATAACATATTATATTATAATATTCGCGCTAGCAATCGTACATCGTCTATATCGTATCACGAAAAAGAAAGAAAAATTGTTCGCAGGTTCGTAATAATTGTGATAAAATATATTATAATACAGTAACTTATGTGAATTGGAGCAAAAGTGAAAACAACGACCTTGTTTCGCGAGTCGCGACGGCGGCGATGATCCAATGGTGGTGGCGTTGACGGAATCTGCCAATTCAGCGATATTTTACTCGGATTTCGGCATCCGTAGATACGTCTGTGATATATTAGCATATAATACGAATTTATAAGTAGCTATAATAGTAATATACGCATAAGTTGTGTACATTTGATCTAAGAACAAAAGTAAATATGCTATACTTATATAACTGTATATTATGTAGCGACATTAAATGTCAACTTACGATATTATATACGATGTACAATATTATACATATAGGTACGAAGTGAGTGGCGAGTCATACGATGACGTCAATGTAAGCTCGAAGGTATAATATTATATCGAGTGCGTTGTCGCGCAAGCTGTTATAGTGTAACACATATATGTGGGTGAGGTAAAATGTTATACAGGCATCGTACGATGACGGGTCGGTTCGCAAGCGGGGGTAGACGCCCGGTGATCGATCCCTGTAGTGGCGTCGGCAGCGTTAGTGGCTGGCCGGGACGAAGGGAGTGTGAGCCGGGCGCCGGCGGACGGCGGCGTCGGGCCCGCCGGGGATGACAACCCCGGCGCGTTAACGTCGTACGTCAGCGGGGCGGCATGGGTGGAGACTTTTACGTTTGCCACGAGCCGCACGTTTTGTGAGCTTGATAAAGTGCTCGTGGCCCTGGGACGAACAAAGGTCGTTTACTTACTTTATATACTCTTGCACAACTCCGCTACCGCTACGATCGAAACGACCTATATGCGTTTATATGTTATATGTATA